GCCAACCAGCCCAGCCAGCTAGCATATGCTTGCCCAGCAGCCTCGCATGCTCGGTGCTAGGCTGTGCTAGGCGCTGGTGCTGGCCAGTGCTAGCTTCTGGGCGCTGCTGGCTGCCTAGCACTCCCAACGCACGCACATGCTTCGCACTCCCATCATGCGTGCTGCTAGTGAGCCACGCATGCTGGCCCCTTTCACCTCGCACACCACGCACACGCCTTCGCAGCACCTCTCGCACTAGCCACGCACCATGCGCAGCGTGCATTGGCCTCGCACCACACGCACGCCCACGCATCACACAGCAGTCTTGGTGCGTGGTGATGATGGGCTGTTGTGCGTGGCCTAGCACAATTCTGACGCCCAGGCCCTCGCATGTGGTGTGATGCTTGGTGCTGCCATGCGAAGGCTAGCACACAAGCCAGCACACACATGGTGCGCCAATGCTAGGCAGGCACCCATGCTAGCACTTGGTGCCTGCGATGGTGCTTCCATGCCAAGCACGCACGCACGCAGCACCTAGTGCCTGCGATGGTGCGCCTGGTGCCTGCGATGGGTTGCTGGGTGCGCCTGGTGCGCCTGGTGTGCCTGGTGCCTGCGATAGGCTATCAGGCCGCGCCTAGGCTGCGATAATGCCTAGCACACCATGGTGCGCCTAGCACACACATGGTGCGCCTAGCACACACATGGTGCGCCTAGGCTTGCGATGAGCTAGCCTAGCCTAGCTACGGCTACGCTCATACTTGTTGCTTGTGATTTTGCGACGCTCGGTCTCGACGCCCAAAGCTCGATTTCCGACGTCTGTATTCATAAAACTCTGTTGACTCATTAAATCCTTTCAGATTAATTCGTCGTCTCGGATCGGTGATTCGATTGGGTTCGACCCGAAGGGTTCAATTAAGATCAAGATGTAATATCAATTGTACCTCGATATTACTGATCGGAAGCGGCCTCCACCTAGGCATTCCGATCACTTGACCTTACTGAAGAATTAGCTTTGTAATAATTCTGAACCCTCTATCGGAAGAATACACTTGTTGGAAGGACACCATTCCTTTCAGTGCTAGCTGGCACGCTAGCTGCCTGCCAGCCCAGCAGCCATATGGCGGTTGTGAGGAAGCTTGTGGGGACCAATCAAGGGCCTTAGGGAGCAAGACATATGGTCCCCCACCTAACCTTGGGCACTACTCCTTTGCACATGATCATGCCACTTGTCCCAATATGATTTAGTTGATTATTTATTTAATTTGGAAATTAAATAAATCATTGATTTTTCAACTCTCCCACATTGGTGGGAGATTGAAAACCAAGGACCCATTTCCCTATAAATACCGTTCAAGGGTGTTGGGAAATGGATAATCTTGAGTGGAATTAAAAAGGCAACTCTTGCAATTAGAGTAAACCTTTGATTCGTAAAACTCATAATTTTGTTTGTCCGGGTCTTGACTAACCTTCAAGACTTGGGACGCTCGGGTTGGGTCGAGGGTACGATCCGTCGGAGATCTCGTAGTTTCGGGATTTTGAAGTAAGAGCTCTTCGGGAGCGAAGCACGCAACAAAGGTATAATTCTTGTTCTTAGTCTTGCTTAATTATGTTTGTTATGCTTGTTAATTGCTTTAATTAAGGGGCGGGTCTTGGGGGGTTTCCTTCCGCGTAGTGTCGGGTCACTACGAAACCTTACAGCGGTTCGGAGCCATGCTCCTTTTAATTTTTGCAATTACTTATTAATTATGGTGTTTTAAAAGAATTTATTTTTCTGGTTCATGTTCTTCTAATTAGATTAGATGCTCGTTTTAATTAATTTTAAAACTCGGTTTTATTCTCGATTTGGCTGTCGAACCTAGATTTTGGCTCAAAAATAGTGATTTTTGGGTGGAATTGACTTTGTGGAACAGATTCATCCCTCTTTGAGACCTATCCAGTAGCCAAATTCGAACCAGAAACCCATTTTTTCTAGGGTTTTTTGTTTTTCAACGAAAATTTTAATTCTTTTTAAGCCTTGATTAATGCAAGCATTACAAGGTTAGATTAAATGCACATTTGCATCACTAATCTATTGTTTTAAAAATATCCTTAAGCATAATAATGGAGTTTTTATTAGTGCTTAAGTTGATATACCATTTTTCACATAAACTTGTTTTTCACAAATTTTGCAAATAAATTGCAATAAAATGTGAAAGCTTGTTGTGAACTTGTAATTTTAAGTTCCTATAATGTTAAAGTTATAATCTTTAAAAGGTTTAAATGATTAGAATCCTAACCCTAAATTCCATATTGAACAAAGTTTGGATTTTTCATGTTTGGTTGATTAAAATCCATCAAGTTCAAATACTTGTGAGTGAAATTTGATTAATTTTCATATTGGAAGATGTAATCTTGGTATTTTACACAAGTATGAAAGTTGGAAAATTTTTCATTAGATGATTAGTTTATTTTTCCAACTCCCATTTGTCAAATCCATTATTAATTTGCATATTGGCGAGATTAATTATGGACATAGCTCATTTTATTTTAAGCATAAAGAAGGACCTAGTTTTGTTAAAAAAAAAATTGGATAATTTAGGCTTGTGCACCATTAAAATTAAATTTATTTTATTTTATTTTATTTTTCCTCAAATTAATTCTAAAATGTAATTTAGAATTAATCATGTCACACACAAATCGGAATTAAAATTCTGAGGAAATGCACGCAAAAATCGATGCAAAACCGCAAGCGTCACCAAGGCCAGCCGGGCTGCCTAGCAGCCCGCATGTAGGTTGCCTATGGTGCACGCAAGGGCATTGCACCAATGCGCGTGGCTGTGTGGCAGGGAAGGCGCTGAGCGCAGCAGCATAGGCTTGGCTGTGTGGCTGTGTGGAGTGCGCGCATGCTGGCTAGCATCAAGAGGCGCCAGCCCAGCAAGCCAGATGCTCGCAGGCACCAGCGTGCTAGCAAGCATGCACAACATGCAAGCAGGCAGCTGGCGCTAGCAGCAGAGCATGCTGGGCACAGCGTACCTCGCCTATGCACCATGGCACCAGGCCATGGGCTGCCAAGCAGCCATGGTGCGCACCCACCAAGGGTTTTAGTGGGACGTTTTGCTTAATGTTTGAGCTATGATTTTGCAATTTTTCAATTTTAATAATTTGAAGTAATTATTTTAACGAGGTTAAAACCTCGATTTTTCGGTTTTGAAAAAATTTGACAAATTATGGGTTATGTCGACTTAATTAATCGGATTAATTAAGTATGGATGCGGAATTTAGTGGGAGCTTAATTAATTACGTGAGCATTTTTCTTTTAGAAATAATGGATTAAACAACTTTGACTAGTTTTTATTAGACGCGTTAATCGGATTAACCACCTAAGTTAGTTACTAGTTTTGCGTGTTTAATTATGTATTTCGTAATTTGCATGGGCCATTCACAAATAGTGAATGGGTGAATGGAAGATTGTTTTCAAAACAGGTTATTGAAAATGGCAACTAGTGGGGCCCGACTAGGATCGAAAATACGGACTGCGTTCCGTTATGTATTTTTGTAAATCTAAATACGGTCTGCGAACCGTTAAGTATTTTTGTACTATTATATTAATCTTAGTCGTTCTAGCTAGTTTATTTATTTTGGCCAAGATGTCTCAAGACGGCGTTTCGATGAACACGAGCCAAGATGAAGACCCATGGAAATTGAAGATTTCAAGGGGTCATGCTAGTTGCCAAATGCATCATTTTATGCTTTATATATTTTGTTATTATATATGATTGCTAGATGCATGTCTGGGATTTCTATATGTTGCGACGATTAGTTAAGTTCACTTAAATCAACCAACAATAGAAACCCTAGGTCCCTTAATAATATTGAGCTAAAATTTGCCATGCCAAGAACAACACTTACCGAACTAATGCACGTACGTGATGGACTACACCAAAGCGAGACATCACTACTTCCATAGGAACGTAAGGTATACTAGGTATACAAGTTGTCTTGGTTAAGCTCAACGATATCAGTAAGGAGTCCTTAGATGACGTGGCAAAAGAGGTAAAATGTCAAAGATGCATTAGATGCGAAATTTTATCAAACCGAGAGTATCTTGGAGCTATTAGAAATTGGATTGCTTACCTTAAGATATCTAATGATTAAGACAAGCCAAAGCATGCTTAACCATTTCTTGATATTTGGGATCTCGGAATCATTTTATTCTCGCCTAAAAAGGACAATTTTATAAATGCGTGGATAAAATGCTCAATAAGATTGAAATTATGCATGAACGTTTTAAATTTCAACTTATTGATTTATGAATGGTTTTTCATTTCAAATTCTTTCAATTGTAGAACATTGTCTGCAAGTAACCCAAACAACAACCATATGTGCCCGGAACTCCCCGAGAAGTTGGCCTTTTCCTTAAACTTGGTCAACTTCAAGGAATGGGAGGAGGAACTCAGGAAAGCTCTCCGGAATTATTCCTTGGAGTACACTCTAGACACTCCCATTCCAAGCTTCTACTCTAAAGGAATCATGACCGATGAGGCTCATGAAGAATGGTCCTCCAACTGCAAGAAAGTCTCACGACTTATGGCAAATTCCATCCCGGAATATTGGAAGGAAAGTCTTACCTCCTATCTCCCGGACATGTTCCTCAAAGCACTTGAGGACGTTGTCAATGTAAGAGTCACCAGGAGTGACAATGCACTAGTAGAAAAAATGAAAAAGGCACCCCCCTTTTCACACCGGTTCTTAAAAACTGGTGGGAAAAAAATGGGCGGGATTTGGATAATTACTTTTCGCACCGGTTCCTTATAAACCGGTGCCAAATCAAGGTTTTTGCACCGGTTTGAACCGGTGCTGAATGTTTTTATTAAATAAAAAAGAAAAAAATAGAGGGATTTCGCACTAGTTCAGCCCAAACCGGTGGGAAAAATTCATTTACAACCGGTTCGAACCGGTGCTGTAAATTAAACAAAAAAACCACTTAATCGTGAAATTCGATCTTCTTCTTCCTTCAATTCAGTTTTCATTCCCCTTCTAGCTTTTCCACATTCAATTCGCACCCCCCTCGTTGTCGCCTACCTTCCCCATAGCTGTACGTCCTCCATCGAAGCGCATTCTGGGCTTTCTCACCTCCATTGCCGCAACTCGTCTCTTTCTCTCCATAGCTCTCCTCCATTAAAGCGCATTCTGCTGAGCTTTCTCACCTCCATTGAAGCGCATTCTGAGCTTTCCAACTCCATTGTAGCAGCTTCGAGGTAAGATTTATTTCGTGGTCTTCCTAATCAATTGAATTCCTTCGCAATATAGGGTTAGTCGTTGATTTAGGGTTTTCTGTTCTTTGTGGTTTGCTGTTGTGACTTTAATTTTGAGTTGTGCATTCAACAATAGTAAATTGTTTTAGGGTTTTGATTGTTGCTGTTGTTTATGAACTTGATGGTTCTCGTTTGGGCATTTGTTTATGAACTTGATGGTTCTCCATTGCTGGGTTCCTCAGCTTTCTTATTTGGCATTCAGCATATCTAACGCGTGTACTTAGTTGGAGAAACAGACTCTATGTTGCTGTAAACTGGGCAACCACTGCTAATACGGAGCGTAATCGCGGTCTGAAGTTCTTTCGTTTCCCTAATCGTCAGCTTTGTGATTTTATTTCTAATTAGGGATTTTGATTTTGGAATTGGAGTTGTTGTTTTATGTTATTTTGTGATTTGTGCTTTTATCAAGTTTGATTTGAAGAGAAATTGGGGTTGTGGTAGTGAGAATTGATTTGTTTGAGACTATTTACAAGTTATTTCATTTGATCATTTTTGGTTTTTGGATGTGAATTGCAATAGACCACTTTCGAAATTTAGTAAGTTTAATTCCGTATTTGAGTTGATGTGTTGGTTGCTTGGATGAATTCATGAATCAGTGTGTTAATAATAAGACTATTAATTCTTAAAATGTGGATGGTAAGTATTGAATTGTTTGCTAATGAAGAAAGACGATGTTTTAATGCTAGTAGTTGTTACTCGGACCTTTATCTTTAGCTAGCTCATTATGTGATTGTTAGTATTGCTTATACATGTGGTAACTTTGGCAGCAATTTATTATGTGTTTTTAGAGAAGAAAAACCGGATTTTAAAGTTGTACTTATGATTGATTGAATAAATGTCAACTTGATGTGATTCACGGCATAGCCAACAAGCATGTTAGGAGCTTGCAGCTTTTATATGGTCATGCATTTGACAGGTAAAGTCAACTGTGAATTTGCTATTGCTAGTTTGCTACAAGGTCCTGTATGTCTGTATGATATAACCTCTAGGGAAAGAAGAGACTCTAAGACTAACTTATGTAACTAGGATTTTTTTGAGAAATTTGGGCATTGATTGTTTTGCTAGCTGCAAATCTCTTTGGAAGATTGGTTTACATCTATCTTGTCTTGATTATGTGGAATTGTCTTGATTACTATACATAATTATGTTGAATATAGTCCATATATATATTGTCTTTGTAGTAGGGAGCTTTCTTTTTCTTGTATGCTACTGAGTATCGGTTCCCTTCCTAACCCTTTTATAGACTTTCTGATGTAAACTTGTCTTCTGCTTGAAAAATTCCTTTTTCTTTTTCCTTTTAAAAAACAGATGGGGTTATCTTTCTTATAAATTCCAAGTTCTTCAAGAAGGCAACAATTTTTGAAGTAAATTTGATTTTAAAAATGTTATCTTCTCCTATATGCTGTTTACTAAATGATTTTGCCTTTGTGTGGGCATATGTGCCTATCTTCTGCTTCTCATTTTAATTTGCCTCTTTCTCTAAATTATATATAAAATTGATGAATATTGGTTTATTAGTCGAGCCATATGACTTGTCAACTTGGCTTGGGTAGGCGGTTGAAGATATCCACCATTTCATGAGCTATGAATTTGTGAATAGATGCATTAAATTTGTTTTTTTTTGTTTTGTTTTTATTTTTGTTTTTTTTTTATTTAGTATTATAGGAATTTCTAAACTTTTGTTATTGCCTTGTCCTCGCTACTCAAGGTGCTTCGAGGCTTTTTCTATCTGTGCGACAGTGTCTAGTGACTAGCTACTGGAGTAGTGGAGTCTCAATGCAGAATGTTGTGTTTTTGTCTAATCTGTGGACAATACTAAATATGTTCACTTCCTTTTCCAGGTCCAGTGTAATGTCTTTGAGGGTGCTAAAGGTGAAGTTTATTTGACTTCTGCAGGAGGTTGAGGGAGCTTCCTGGTGGAAGAATTGAGAGTGCGGCGTTGGTATGCTTTTCCAATTATATCTTCTGTAATCTCTACTCTTCATTTCTCTCTTTGAAGTCATTTTTTATGCCTCCATGTTAGGGTTTCTTAGTTGATTGATGTGCAATTAATTGATCAGTGCACCTGTATGGATAGTGTACCCGAGCCCTAGTTTAGCAATAGTGTCTGAATATGCTGCTGAGCCTACTCTACGGAGCTTGTGTATTTATTTATCACAAAAATTGAAAGTTGATTGGCTATTCACCATCTCTTGAAATTTAGTGTTGCAATTCAAAATGACACTTGTTGACATAGTTTATGCTCTTCCTGCTGTCCGTTTATGCCTTAAGCTGGTTAACAAATGAACACTGGAATGCCTTAAAAAAAAAAAAGGCTGGTTAACAAACTTCATTTACAATTCATGTCAGCTTTCTTAGATCATTTGTGGAGTGTGGACACTTCCACGGCTATGTGTGGGTTGACCGTTTGGCTGACTTCATTTAGAAAGAAGACCAAGTTTAGGAAATTCGATGTTAGATTCTTCAACATGTTTGCTAAATTTCTAATTTGGACTGTCTTGTTCCTCTTGATTTTTTTCTGCAATACATCTTGTTCCAGCTGAGTTACTAGTATTTCATCATCTTCCTACCTTTGCAACACCTCCACCCCAACTACAACTAGTAACTGGTTTCTATATTCAACACCCCAATTACTTTATTTGTCCATCTCAAGGTCGTCGTAAGTCCCTTGGAATTGAAACTACTACATCTTCCTCTCTAAAGGTTGTGATCATCGCTATCTAACTAACTAAGTGTTGAGTTCAAGTTGTAGTGTTAGTTTGTTTAATTAATAAAGTTTGTAGGTTTAGGGTTACTGTTTGTGTGTGGAGTCAATTAATGAATTAGATCCAGCAAGATTTTCTGGGTAGGAAGTGGAGATGATTTTAACACTCCAGGAAGAATGAAGAAGAATGAAAGTGCAGTTGGGATTTAAAGGACCAGGAGTGCAAAAATCATTTTCCATGAAATCTCACTCAACGGATCTCCCTGATTTTATGTGTTGCAAAATTTGGGAGTCTAACTGAGATTCATATTTCATCAGTTTTTATGTGAAGTAGTAGGAGTACTGTACTAATGGTGTAGTGGTTGTTACCACTAAACAGTAGTGTTACTGATGGATTGTAAACTTAACCCAAATCCTTCTCCATTCTATCTTACTTTATCTCCTTCTTCCTTTGTATTTCATCAATCAACTATCTTCATTAACCACTTTGCTTTGCCTTTATTATTTATTTTCATTTAAATTGTTATTTCTCTATTTATTATCCTTCTGTATACTAGATCAGATCATATTAGTATTGTTTTTGTTACTTGTCTTTCAATCTCTTGATATAGCCAACTAATCTCTTGATGACTTAAAAAATACGTATGGTATCACATGCTACTGATCTTTCTTGATCCGGATATGCTTAACTGGACTTGCTTTTGCTTAACTTAGCTTATCAATTTGCTTAACTTATTTTTGCTGAATTTATATTAAACTTAATTATCTTTGCTAGTACTTATATAAATAAATTAGAGGAGAAAATAACCTTAGTAAAAATCATAAATTTCTAAAAATACCTGTTTTTGTTGTCCATTGATGTTTTGATTTGGTATATTATCTTTTCTATAATCTTTTATCGTGCATATTCCCAATCATGCTGTCTTCCTAGTGTCCACTATGCCTGCCACGATAACCACTTTTTTAATTTCACTATACAAGTATCTTGTTAGAAACATATAGTGTTTGGTTGGGTGTTAACCATTTTCTTTTATTTGGTATCTAAAGGGATGGAAAGCAATTATCCCAAGGGTGGAAATCAATTTCCTTTTGTAAGTAATTAACACATTTTCCACTCTACTCCTTGTCTTTCTTATTCTCTCTTCCCATCCATCCTCTCCCTTTTACTGTTCTCCATAACTTTTCTGGTATGCTACCAAACAAAGGAGATTTTATCAGGTTTATTTTCATTAATATACTTCGTACAAAGTATATTTTTTTGTAATGACACACCGGATCAACTCTTGACCCTTTCTCTTGTAACTGCCAATTGCAGCAAGCTGTCAATGGAATTAGCCAGATTTCTTTTAGTGTCGACGAAAGTGTGACACCCAAGAAGCCTACCTCTCTGCCAGAGGTAGCAAAGCAACGTGAATTGAGTGGCACTCTAGAAGCTGAGGCAGACTCAAAGATCAAAAAGGGACTGTCGTATGGCAAGTGCAAGGAACTCAGTGGAAATAACATTTTTGGCCCACCTCCGGAAAATCATCCTCGATCATTGGCTGTTGCACGTTCATTGGAGTCAAAAGAAAAGGACATGGGTGAGCCAGCACCAAGAGCTTCACAACCAGAAGTTCCAAGAGCTGACAGGTAACATCTTTAAATTGCTTCTATTATTGCTTGAATTCTACTCTCCTGATTAGTTGAGTACTTATAGACTAGCTGTACTGGCTATAGCTTATGGCTTTATAAAAAATTCTAAAGCCTCTAACCTTGTGGAGTAGAAGTTCTTAATGGACTTTTTTTATTTCGTCAGCAAAAAAGAGGCAACAATCAAGCTAAAGTTACAAATTTGGGATTTCTGAAGCTTAATTCCAATTGACATTATCCATTTAGGGTAGATACCTGACTGATTGTCTATTGGCTGATACTTATTTGATCAACCTCATGCCTAGTTCTGTCTTGCATTGGATCTGTTGTATGTGTTGTTTTAATTATGTGCAGGTTTTAGCTATTATTACTGTAGTTTTGTTAGAAAGGATGATTGATGAAGATGATGATGATAGGTTATATTATTAAGGACATGGAACGTGACAACTTAATTTTTTTTTTTACAATTTCGTTTCTATAACTCGCTTTGACAGGTAAAACACCAACAACCAGTACCAGGCAGGCACAACACCACCACCACCAGACAATAGCTAACAGCCAGCAGATAGCCGAAAGGCTTTGCAAAACCAGGCCAGCAACCAAACAGCAGTATCACAGCAGGTGAAAAAGCAGGCAACAGAACCAGCAGCCTGAACCAAACCTAAGCAGCCAGAAACAGAAAGCAGTAGCCAGCAACAGCTACTCCAGACCTTGATTCTGTATTTTTGTTTTCTTCAGTTTTTTAAAGTGTAATATTACAAGTTATTGAAGAAAATATATGTGTTTTATGTATATTATGATTATATATAAGTATTTGTTACAATTTAAGTGAAAAAAAATGCTAATTTTTTTTTTTTTGGGCATTTTTGGCACCGGTTTTGGACAGAACCGGTGCTAAAAGTTTTTTTAAAAAATAAATTTGGGGACTTTTAACACCGGTTCTAAGTAAAAACTGGTGCGAAAAGTTCAGTTTTTGGCATCGATTCTCCTCTAGAACCGGTGCGAAAAGTCATTTTTCCCACCGGTTTTGAACCGGTGCGAAATCTATGGGGTTTTAGCACCCCCCAAATCCGGTCTGGTTTAAAACCGGTGCGAAATGGGGGGTTTGAACCGGTGGGAAATTCGTATTTTTATAGGGTTTCGTAGTGACCCGACACTACACGGAAGGAAACCCACCAAGACCCGCCCCTTAATTAAAGCAATTAACAAGCATAATAAACTTAATCAAACAAGATTAAGAACAAGAATTATACCTTTGACGCGTGCTTCGCTCCTAAAGAGCTCTTACTTCAAAATCCCGAAAAGACGAGATCTCCGACGGATCGTACCCTCGACCCGACCCGAGCGTCCTAAGTCTTGAAGGTTAGTCAAGACCCGGACAAAATAACTATGAGTTTTACGAATCAAAGGTTTACTCTTTCTTAGAGTTGCCTTTTTAATTCCACTCAAGGTTGTATCATTTTAATACCCAAGCTTGGTATTTATAGGGAAATGATCCCTTGATTTCCAATCTCCCATCAATGTGGGAGAGTTGGTAAAATGATAATTATTTAATTCCAAAATTAAATAATTAATCAATTCAATCACAAATCGACACATAGTACAATTATAGAGAAAGCCAAGTGAGGACCAAGGCTTGGGGGACCATTGTCTTGATCCCCAAGGCCATGAATTGGTCCCCACACACCATGCCCAAAACCGGGTCAAGGTGGGCTAGCTGGCTGCCAGCTAGCGTCGCCTTGCTGCCCAGCACCCAGCCAGCCAGCTAGTGCATGCTGCTGCTAGGCTGTGCTGGTGCTACGTGCTGGCGCTCGGCACTGCTAGCACCTAGTGCTGGCATTGGCCCCCAGCAGCCCACGCACACCTCCTTGCGCGCCATTGCTAGCACAGCCAACATGCGTGCTGCTAGCGAGCCACGCATGTTGGCCCCCTTTATGCCTCGCACCATACGTACACATCTCGCAGCTTCCCTCGCACTAGCCACGCACCATGCGTAGCGTGCATTAGCCTTGCACCATACGCACGACCACGCATGACACAGCAGTTTTGGTGCGTGGTGATGCTAGGCTGCTGTGCGTGGCCTAGCACCATGCTGGCGCCCAGGCCCTCGCATGTGGTGCATGCTTGGTGCTGCCATGCGAAGGCTAGCACACAAGCCAGCACATACATGGTGCGCCAATGCTAGGCAGGCATCCATGCTAGCACTTGGTTCCTGCGATGGTGCTGCCATGCCAGGCACGCACGCACGCAGCACCCAGTGCCTGCGATGGTGCGCCTGGTGCCTGCGATGGTGCTGCCATGCCAAGCACGCACGCACGCAGCACCAGGGCCTGCGATGGCGCCCAGCATCATGCTAAGGCTGCGATAGCGCCTGGGCATGATGCCAGGGCTGTGTTGGCGCGCCTTGTGCTAGTGATAGCCAGCCATGGTGCCTAGCCATCACGCTAGGGCTGCGATAGCGCCTAGGCATGATGTTAGGGCTGCTATGGCGCGCCTAGTGCCTGTGATGAGCTAGCCTAGCCTAGCTATGGCTACGCTCATACTTGTCGATTGTGATTTTACGACGCTCGGTCTCGACGCCCTAGGCTCGATGTCCGACGTCTGTATTTGTAAAACTCTGTCGACTCATTAAATCATTTCGGATTAATTTGTCGTCTCGGATCGGTGATTTGATTGGGTTCGACCCGAAGGGTTCAGTTAAGATTAAGTTGTAACATCAATTGCACATTGATATTACTGATCGGAAGCGGCCTCCACCTAGGTATTCCGATCACTTGACCTTACTGAAGAATTAGCCCTGTAATAATTCCGAACCCTCTATCGGAAGAATACACTTGTTGGAAAGACACCATTCCTTTCAATCTCCCACTTGTCCTTCCGGACAAGTGTGCATATAGTGTATAGCTCATTTCCTATGTCACTTAATGTTTCTTCGTGAACTATAAGGTAAGATTCTTTGTCATCCTTATTACGTTCAGAAGTGTTTCTCGATCTCCGAGTTCAACTGTCAATAAGCAGATGATTTCTAAAATCCATCTGAGCACGACCATGCATTTTCACAGTCTCGCTCTTCGAGCAGCCTTGTAAACAACAAAACATTTTCCCTATTGTTAGTAGGGGGACAATCCCAGTCTTGTATTGTAAGTTCTTCTTACTAAGAGGACTTAGTCTCCCGAGTGTTCCCGTTATGATCCCCAGTTACGGCAGACGTTTGGAAACATCAAAGAGTCTAGTACTCAAACAAGAAAACTTCACAGTACTCATGGTCGGAGGAAACAAGTTCCGATAGTTTTAATGAGAAATGTACTTATGACAAAATTTTAAATTTTCTTAAAGTACTCTCATAGGTCTTATCCAGTACAGTTCTAAATTGTACCTGTGCAAATGATTTATGACCGTCACGTCCTCGCAGCACAAGAAACGATGCTGTAAATCATACTACACACTAATCTACGGCGGTCATCAATTGTCCATTTGTTAGAGACCTCGATTAGGGAAAATTTTTGATTTAATATTCAATGTTCACTTAACAGGTGTTTCTTTATCCAAGACATGGTCTTGATACCCTGTTTTGAATATTTCCGTAAATCGAATGGACTCATTATTTAATTCTAAACCACAATTAAATAGTAATGGAGCGAATGATAATTTTGCACAAAAATTAATTACTCCATTAATGAATGGTTTTGATACAGTATCTTACATTAAATATCCTATTTAATTAAAACACATGTATAGGGAATTTCAAAGCCAGTCTCCAACATGCTTAATTCCCATTGCCTCCATGTGCTTGTTGTGTTTCACTTGAGGCAAAGGTTTAGTCAAAGGATCGGCTACATTATCATCCGTGCCGATCTTACAAATACTGATTTCACCTTCGGATTTCCATTCCCTTATCATGTGAAATCGCCTTTGCACGTGTTTAACCTTCTAGTGTTCTCTCGGCTCCCTGGCCTGAGCGATAGCTCCATTGTTATCACAATATAGGTCTATCGGCCCCTTGATTGAGGGTACAACACAAAGTTCACTAATGAACTTGCGAATCCAAACAGCTTCCTTGGCAGCTTCTGAAGCGGCTAAGTACTCGGCTTCAGTTGTAGAGTCTGCACTCTTCCAGCTAAACGTTCCTCCATTCAGACAGAATATTTACCCCGACTGTGACTTGAAGTCGTCTCTTTCAGTCTGGAAGCTAGCGTCGGTGTAACCTTCAACAACCAGTTCTTTGTGGCCTCCATACAACAGGAATTTATCCTTGTTCCTTTTCAGGTACTTAAGGATGTTCTTGGTCGCAGTCTAATGCGCCTCTCCTGGGTTCGATTGGTATTGACTCGTTGCACTTAGGGCATACGATACATCTGGCCTTATACATGTCATGGCATACATGATCGATCCGATTAGCGAAGCATATGGGATCTGATTCATTCTTTCTCGCTTAATAGGTATCTGCGGACACTGTTTCTTGCTGAGAGTTACGCTATGGGACATGAGTAAATGCCCTCTTTTGGCATTTTCTATGTTGAATCGAGCCAGTACCTCATCAATGTAATTACTCTGGCTTAATCCAATCATCCTCTTAGATCTATCCCTGTAGATCTTGATGCCCAATATGTACTGTGCCTCTCTTAAGTCCTTCATTAAAAAGCACTTTCCCAACCAGCCCTTTACGGACTCCAACAATTTTGTGCTGTTTCCAATGAGCAGTATGTCATCGACATACAGGACTAGGAATGCAATATCACTCCCACTGACCTTCTTGTATACACAAGACTCATCTGGATTCTTGATAAAACCAAACTTGCTAATGGCTTCATCAAATCGCAGATTCCAACTTCTGCTGGCTTGCTTTAGTCCATAAATGGACTTCTTCAACTTGCAAACCTTTCCAGCGTTGCCTGGATCGACAAAACCTTCTGGCTGTGTCATATACACAGTTTCTTCCAAAATTCCATTAAGGAAGGCGGTTTTGACATCCATTTGCCATATTTCGTAATCGTAATATGCAGCAATCACTAGGATGATCTGGACGGATTTTAGCATTGCAACTGGTGAAAAAGTTTCATCATAGTCAATCCCGTGGACTTGTCTATAACCTTTTGCCACCAGTCTAGCTTTGTATATTGATACATTTCCATCCTTGTCTGTCTTCACCTTGAAGATCCATTTGCAACCAATGGGTGTATAACCCTCGGGCAAATTCACCAAGTCCCAGAGTTGATTTTCAGACATGGAGTCCATCTCGGATTTCATGTCCTCTTGCCATTTTGCAGAGTCGAGGCTCGTCATAGCTTGCTTGTATGTCGCCGGCTCATCACCATCCATGACTAGGATGTCCTGATCATCGGTTAAGACGATACCGAGGTATCTGTCTTGTTGAGATCTTTGTCGTTGCGACCTACGTAGGGTAATTGGTTGAGCATTTACATTGTCTGTTTGATTCTGACCAATCTTCTTAGATGCTTTTCTTAGATGCTTCCAAAGTATCTAGATTGTCAGTTTTGTCAGGTTGACATTGTTGCTCGTCCTCTCGAACTTCGTCGAGTTTGATTTTCCTCCCACTTGTCATTTTGGAAAGGTGATCCTTCTCCAAAAAGACACCATCACAAGCAACAAAAACTTTGTTCTCGGATTTATTGTAGAAGTAATAACCTTTGGTTTCTTTTGGATATCCCACAAAGAAACACTTATCCGATTTGAGGTGAAGTTTGTCTGAAATTAATCGCTTGACATATGCTTCGCATCCCCAAATCTTGAGAAAAGACAACCTAGTAGGTTTCTTAGTCCATAATTCATATGGAGTCTT